TGATCGTCCTCCACAACGAGAGTCGATCCACGGCCACAGGGAGGCCCCGACTGCTGCCCCGGGGACCATTCGTCGTCCCAGATCCATGCTTGATGGCCCTGCGGGCCCGATGACGGGCCCTGGAGTTATGTTGCTCCCATCGTGCTCAAGGACGACACCCCAGAAATAGATTCGGGCACCCAGGAAAGCATCGAAACGGTGTCGAACAAGTATCGCCTCCCAGGGCCCGAAAACCCTCAACTTTCGGCACTTCCTTGGTGCTCGAAATTGAATAATGTCTGGTGGCCAAGGCTAAAATGGGTTGGAACATCATAACCCTGGAGGTCGACATCGAACAAACAAAAAAAAGCTCAGACTGAACAAAGTCACGTCGCCGGAGATCTGGCGCGCCCCTGCGGTGGCGGTGCTGGGGAACCGGGCCGTGAGAGGTACTGGTACGGGTCCTCGCGCACCTCTGGCAGTCCCAGCGAGAGGAGACGTCGGCGACTCCGAGGGGGGTTTGCTGTCGAGGGCTGCGGTTTGCAACCCGCGCCTGAGGCGGGCGGGCGAGGCCCTCGACAGAGATCTCCGTCGCGCCCCGACAGGGGCTCGTCAAACCTTTGGCGCAGCGATGTGACCCCCTAATAGAGGGGGCCACAAGCGAACCCTCCCCCTCCCCCTCAGAGGTCGTGGGGGGGCGGGGGTAGGGTTCGCATGTGGCCCCCTACCTGAGCCTCAACGGCGCCTATCGCAAACCACACCCCGGCGAAACCGCACCCACTGACAGTCACCGAAGATGCGCCTCCCTGGAGAGCAGCGCGTGCTCGGGGTCCCAGCCGCACCCGTCGAAGATGGGGGGGAACTCGAAGTACGCCTCCACGTGCCTCCTCTTCCTCCCGTCTCTTCTTCTTAGTAGTATTATTAGTATTATTGCCATTACTATTGTTAGTTCTTCTTCCTCCATTAGTATGAATATGATTATCCTCCTCCTCATCCTCCTCCTCATCCTCATCCTCCTCCTCCTACGTCCTCCTGGTTATTATGATTATGATTAGTATTATTATTGTTTTATTCCTTCTCCTCCTCCTCCTCCTCCTCCTCCTCCTCCTCCTCCTCCTCCTCCTCCTCCTCCTCCTCCTCCATCGCCAGCTGGTGCACGGTGGAATCTCGTTCCCGTAAGTTGGGAAGCTGGCCATTTCCAGGTGGCACACCCTGGGAATGTGGTTTATGCCGATGTTGAGCCTCCAGGTGCTCCAGGAAGAAGCGCACGTTTGCGGCGTGAGCCTCGGATATAGAGAAGCCAAAAACGGCAAAAGCAGAACGCATCGGAGGCCCGCGCGGAGTTCATGGCCAGCGCTGGGCCCCCCTTCTCTGGCGCGCGGAGCGCGCCAGCGCCGGTCCCCAAAAATCCGCGCGGATCTCCGAGAAGTTACTCTCGTGCCGTTCTGTTTGAAGGGGCCCCAGGACACACAAATAAATGCACACAAATGAAAGGTTTCCCCATATTTTCCCGTATTTTCTGGGTTTCTGTCTTCCCCCCCCACTTCCCATATTTTCCTTCCCTCCCGCTTCCCATATTTTCCCATATTTCCCGGGGTATCGACGATTCATCGTGTCTGTGTGTTCTTGTTCCCTCCTGACTGTTGTTCTTCGAGCCTCAGCGCTCAGCAGGTACGCCGTCGCCCCAAAGTGGTCCAGGTACGGCACGTGCTCCTCCCCGGGCTGCAGGGGCGAGCAGAGCAGGTTGAAGGAGTAGCACTCGGCGCCCCGCCAGTTGTCGTCGAACCAGAGGTGCGCGAAGCCGCGCGCGAGCAGCTCCCGGACCCGCCGGCTGCTCGACATGTGTCGGGGGTGGACAGACCCCCCAACAGTGACACGTCGATTAGTGAATTGTCCGTTTTCGGTTCTCGAGAGGGCGCCGTGGCCGTTATTTTCCAGGCTTGCGCCCGCCAGGTTTGGGCCTCAGGTCGTTTTCACTAAACCACGTTTTACTAAAGGGGGATCTGTCCATCCCCGAATGTGGTCGTCCAGCATGACCAGCGTTCGGTTTCTCTCGGCAAGGGGTACGTCGGGAGCGTCCCATCGGGGGGGCAAGGAGAGGCGGCTTCGCAAAGCATGGCCCGAGGCATGTGCGCGGCCAAGGGGCGGGCCAGCGAGCACGCTGAAACAAGAAGAGGGGGCCACGAGGTCTAGAAGATATTGGGGCCCCAGCCATGGCACCCACACACATACACGCGCACACACACACACACACACACACACACTTTGGCGATCGCGGCCTCGCGCGCAGCGACGAAGCGTAGAAACCCGAGTAACGCGAGCGGAGCCCCGCATACACACACACACACACACACACACACACACACACACACACACACACACACGGTCCTCACACCCCTCCTGGGCGGCCCCGAGCATGTAGCTGTTCCAGTCCAGCTCGGCAAGATCCTGGAAGCGCTCCCCCATGAAATACCGAGTCCTGACAAATTTACACATACCGATACCGCAACTCTCCGAGCCTCCCCAGAAGTGCGTTCTGACCAGAACCTCGGGGCGAATCCAGCCGTGGTGACCTGGGCCTCCCTGGAGGCCCACAAAGGCGAAAACCATAGAGGAAAGAGAACCATGCACATGCACCGATTCTGGCCAGGCCCATCCTGAGCGCAGGATCGGTGCATACATACGCCCTCTTACCTGGGCCAGGAGGGTAGATGCACCGATCCTGGGTCAAGGATGGGCGTTGTCAGGATCGGTGCATGTGCATAGTTCTCTTCCCCCGAAACCAGGCCAGGGCTCGGCGACTACAATGGGTGCGGTTTGCGAAGGGTGCGGTTTGCCTCCCGTCATACCTGCCCCTCCAGCCCCCGGGAAACGGATGACACTGTCACCCAATGCGACCGAATCACATGACACCGTCGCTCCTTCTAGTACAGCGGAGCACACATCGAGGATGACAGTGTCGCTCGAAACGACGACGGTCATGACACTGTCTCTCACCAAGGCCCCGGGAAGGCCGCCACAGAGCAACTCGCAAACCGCACCCCAGCGTGAGCGCAGCGATTGTAGCCGCCGAAGGGCCGAAGGGTATCGGGCATGGACAGACCCCCCTTTAGTCAAACGTGGTTTAGTGAAAACGACCTGAGGCCCAAACCTGGCGGGCGCAAGCCTGGAAAACAACGGCCACGGCGCCCTCTCGAGAACCGAAAACGGACAACTCACGAATCGACGTGTCACTGTTGGGGGTTCTGTCCACCCCCGAATTCGGGCACCCGCGATCATGAACTATAGAGGTCTCCTAGATGGGGTCCGAGTAGATGGGGTCGGGGGGTTCCACCGCATCGCCGATACGTCGACGATGCATCGCCGATGCATCGGCGATGCATCGGCGATGCATCGGCCATGCACTGGCGACGTCAGCGATGCATCGGCGACGTAGCAATATCGGTACCTGTTCCTCCCCAGGGAGTCCGGGCTCCGCGCCCCTCGTCCCGGTAGCGCAGGAAGGAGTCCGCCTTCGGGTCCAGCGCGTAGAGCCGGGCGTCGGGCCCCGCCGCCTCGCGGAGCAGCCACGTGGACTGGCCGCGGTGGACGCCGCTCGCGACCGGAGGGCGCCAACTGGACAACGACCCAGACCCCCGACGCAGTGACATTACCCAGGGACGTACGCAACCGTTTCTGAACAGATGGCGGCGACGGATCATGAATGCATAAGTTGACCATGAATGTGTATATATATAGATGTATATGAAGATACGTATATATATATGTATATATGTGTGTGAATGTATATCAGAGTGAGGGGGCTGAACCGAACGGTCATGCACTGTCCCTGGGTGCGTGGCTGAAATGGAATTCCGCGATGCGGATTCTCGTTGTTGTTGTTGTTGTTGTTGTTGTTGATGCTGTTGTTTGCTGTTTGTTGTTTGTTGTTTGTTGTTTGTTGTTTGTTGTTTGTTGTTTGTTGTTTGTTGCTTGTTGTTTGTTGTTTGTTGTTTGTTGTTGTCGTCGTCCCACCCGCGACCCACCCGCGACCCACCCGCGACCCACCCCGCGACCCACCCGCGACCCACCCGCGACCCACCCCGCGACCCACCCGCGACCCACCCGCGACCCGCGACCCACCCGCGACCCACCCGCGACCCACCCCCGCGACCCGCACCCGCGACCCACCCCGCGACCCCGCCCGCGACCCACCCCGCGACCCACCCGGCGACCCATCCGCGAGACCCACCCGCGACCACCCCGCGACCCACCCCGCGACCCACCCAAAATTTTCGGCGCCTGCGGCGGGCTTCTTTTGCATTCGTCCAGGTGGAGAACCTGCGACCCACCCGCGACCCCAACCGCGTTCAGTGTACAAATCAAAATTTTCGGCGCCTGCGGCGGGCTCTTTTTGAATTCCATCCAGGTGGAGGTGGAGAGCCCGCGACCCACCCGCGACCCACCGTCGACCCACCCGCGACCCACCTGCGACCCAACCCGCGACCCACCACCGACATTGTTTTAACAAAAAATCTGCGCCTGCGGCGGGCTCGTTGTATAGCTTGAACATGTGGCGCCTGCGGCGGGCTTCTTCAGAGCCTCGCAGACTGCAGACGTCCCCGCCGCCCCCTCATTCTTATCCGCAACTGCGGTGTGCTACGTATGTATACGCATATGTGTACGTATGTATGTATGTCTGTCTGTCTGCCTGTCCGTCTGTCTGTATGTAAGTATGAATGTATGCGTACATACGCATATGTATACAGATGTACATATAGACATGTGTCTATATCTATACACGTAGCATCCCGCAGTTTCGGATTAGATTGAGGTGGTGGCGAGGACGTCGGCAGTCTGCGAGGCTCTGAAGAAGCCCGCCGCAGGCGCCTAACTTTTACCAATTGTTAGTGGGCCCGGGTGGGTCGCCGGGTGGGTCGCCAGGTGGGTCGCGGGTGGGTCGCGGGTGGATCGCGGGTGGGTCACGGGTGGGTCGCGGGTGGGTCACAGGCCCGGCCGCGGGGGGGACAACGACAACAAACAACAACAACAACAACAACAACAACAACAACAACAACAACAACAACAACAACAATAGCAACAGCAACAGCAGCAACAACAACAACGACAACAACAACAGCAACAACAACAGTAACGACAACAACAACAATTACAACAACAACAACAACCACAACAATAATCATAAGACTGTTCGCTCCCATCTGCTCACGTGCCAAGCAATAGGTATATCCCAAGCCCTCGGTACCCGCCCTCGTCGTCTTCGATCGTACCCCCTTGGGAGTAGATCTTCCTTACCTGCCACGTGCATTTGGTGCAGCCCCTAAAACAAGGGAAGAGAGGACGGGTGGAAGGGGGAGAGAGAAGAATGGAGCACGAGGGAAATTAGCAGGAGGGGGGCAAGGAGCAGAAAACAAGTGGTGGAGCCAGACGGGTAGATTGGGTGGGCAGACCCATAACGGGCAGTCGACAAGGCGGGCCCAGGCGACCAGGTCGAGCAGGCGGGGTGCTGAAGCGTGGTTCCTGCATGAATCGCGAAGACGGCTCGAGCGATAGCGCGATTCCCAAGTAAATCGTGAGCAAAAACAAAAGCAAGAGCATGATTCCTGAGAACCGAGGGCGCATCGTCTGAATAAATTGCGAGAAAGTCCCACGCGAGAGCGCGATGCGTACATGAATTGTGAGGAAGTCCCGCGCGAGAGCGCAGCTTGGGAATAAATTGTGAAGAAATATCAGGCGGGAGCCGTTGCTGTTGTGAACCGGGGGCCAGGGGCCCAGTTTGAGCCCCGTAATTTTCCCTAGTAAAAGACAAGGTGCGAGCCCTGGGGGAAGCACTTCAATTGAAAAAACACAATGGTCACCAGAGGGGGGATCAACAATAATGATTCCTCAGTAGCGAGAGTTCAACAGCAGCAACAACAACAACAACAACAAAAACAACTACAACTACAACTACAATTACAACTACAACACAACAACAACAGCAGCAACAACAGCAACAACAACAGCAACAGCAACAACAAGCCGCACCGCATAACTTCACTTCTGCGACGCACCCAAGACAGTAAATGACCGTTTGGCCCTTTTCACTCTAACATATATGTAAAGACATACATACCTGCATACGTACATACACACATACATACATACATACATACATACATACATACATACATACGTAATTACGTCCGTACGTACGTACGTACATACATACATACATACATGCATAAACACATCCGTCAGAGTGAGGGGACTGAACCGAACGGTCATTCACTGTCATGGGTGCGTGGTTGAAGTGGAATTCCGCGATGCGGATTCTCGTTGTTGTTGTTGTTGATGTTGTTGTTGTTGTCTGTTGTTTGTTGTTTGTTGTTTGTTGTTTGTTGTTGTCGTCGTCCCACCCGCGACCCGCCCCGCGACCCACCCCGCGACCCACCCGCGACCCACCCACGACCCACCCGCGACCCACCCCGCGACCCGCCCGCGACCCGCCCCGCGACCCACCCGGCGACCCATCCGCGAGACCCAACCGAGACCCACCCGCGACCCACCCCGCGACCCACCCGCGACACACCCGCGACCCACCCGCAACCCACCGCGACCCACCCGCGACCCACCCGCGACCCACCCCGCGACCCACCCAAAATAATCGGCGCCTGCGGCGGGCTTCTGTTGCGTTCGTTCCAGGTGGAGAACCTGCGACCCACCCGCGACCCCAACCGCGTTCAGTGCACAAATCAAAATGTTCGGCGCCTGCGGCGGGCTGTTTTTGAATTCCCTCCAGGTGGAGGTGGAGAGCCCGCGACCCACCCGCGACCCACCTGCGACCCAACCCGCGACCCACCACCGACATTGTTTTAACAAAAAATCGGCGCCTGCGGCGGGCTCGCTGTATAGCTTGAACATGTGGCGCATGCGGCGGGCTTCTTCAGGGCGTCGCAGACTGCAGACGTCCCCGCCGCCCCCTCACTCTTATCCGAAACTGCGGGGAGCTACGTACATACATACATACATGCATGCATAACCTACATACATATGTACAAACGGACATACATACACACATCTATAGATACATGCATGCATACATACACGCATTGCAGTACATTGCATTGCATTGCATCGCATTACATTACATTACATTACATTACATTACATCACATTACATTCCATTACATTCCAATACATTACATTACATTACATTACATTACATTACAATACATTACAATACAATACAAAACAAAACAAAACATTGCATTACATTACATTACATCATTACATTACATTACATTACATTACATTACATTACATTACATTACATTACATTACAATTACATTTACATTTACATTTACATTTACATTACATTACATTACATTACATTACAATACAATACACTACATTACACTACATTAAATTTTATATTACATTGCATTACATTACATCACATTACATTGCATTGTATGCATGCATGCATGCATGCATGCATACATACATACATGCATACATACATACAAACATACATACATATATACACACAAACATACAGACATACAGACAGACAGACAGACAGACAGACAGACATATAAATATATACACCTATATTCCCCCATCAGAGCTTGCCTCTGTAGGGGTCCTAGCGGAATCATATGGTGAGGTGAAGTGTGCCGCCGATTTCGGTGGCCCAGCCGGGTGCCCAGGTGCCCAAGGGTGCCCGGGTGTCCGGGTGCCCAGAATTGCCCGGATGCCCGAAAGCCCAGGTGCCCAGGTGCCCGGGTGCCCAGGGGTGCCCGGGTGCCCGAGTGCCCGGGTGCCCGGGTGCCTGGGTGCCCGGGTGCCCTGGTGCCCGGGTGCCCGAGTGCCCTATAGCCCTATAGCCCTATAGCCCTATAGCCCTATAGCCCTATAGCCCTATAGCCCTATAGCCTGATAGCCCTATCGCCCTATAGCCCTACAGCCCTATAGCCCTATAGCCCTATAGCCCTATGACCCTATGACCCTATAGCCCTATAGCCCTATAGCCATTTAGCCCAATAGCCCTTTTGCCCTATAGCCTTCAAACCCTATAGCCCTATAGCCTTTTAGCCCTATAGCCTTTTAGCACTATAGCCCAATAGCCCCATAGCCCTATAGCCCTATAGCCTTATAGCCCTGTAGCCTTATTATAGATATATAGCCCCATAGCCCCATAGCCCTATAGCCCTATAGCCCCATAGCCCTATAGCCCTAAAACAATTATGACTGGGGTTTTTCCCGGGTATCATTATGCATATACATACATATATATATATATATATATATATATGTATAAACACATAAACAAATATGTAAACATAGCTATGTGTAATCCATTTGGGCACGTCGGCAAAGAACGCCTGGCAGCGCCCAACGCCCTGCATTCACGCAATCATTCTTGCGATCCAGATCAGGAGCGGGAAGCTGACGATAAATGAACCGCAAGGCTAGCGCAGTTCCCAGCCACCCTGGGAGCCGCGAGGTCTCTCATGGGTGCGCGTGGCACCCGGCTGCGCTGAACCTCCCAAGAGCCCACGAAAGCGTCGACAGATGCCCAGCTCGCAACCATGCAGGAAGCAGATAGACAGACAAGAGCCGCGCCCAGACGGCGCAGTGGCAAGACAACTGCGGCAGTTGACGGCGTAGCTAGGCACGTGCAAAAAAAATGAAACAATTGATTGCGCTGCAGGCGGCTCGGTTGCAGACCATTGGCAGGTTTTGTACCGAACGGGAAGCGATGCGTAGACCTGACGACAAACCACGGAAAGAGGGGGGGAGGAGCGAGGAAGGGAATGAGGGAAAGGAGGAACGAAAGGAAGAAATAACCAACTCACTTCTGCTTGAACCGTCTTGTGACGGCGGCGTGCCACTGCACCTTGCTCCCGAGGAACCCCTTGAGCCTGTCGGGCTCCCCCCTGACACCTGCAAGGCTCCGGAACGCACATAAGTGGTCGCTCGAGCGTTCCCCAAAGATCTGGGGATCTGATTAACATGGACATCACCGGCAAAATTTGCGCGTTGGCAAGCTGCTCGTGGGTTCACGGGCAAGCCGGCGAGACAAGGGCAAGTGGCGTCGCAGCAATCATTCGGACAATCTGCGCGCATCTGCACAACTGAAAAGGCGAGCGTTGCTGACGCGAGAAACCTATGTAGGAGCGATCTTGACAATGTTCCTGAAACACTGCGCTTGGAATGCATCTAGTTTCGCCCCGTCTGCTTGCAGCAACAACATGCACGATCCGAGGCCATAAAGCAAGTTGGAAAAGGCGCGCGCTTCTAAACCCTTCAGATTGCGCTGCTTGCTTACATTGGCGCGGTTCCACACACAGCGAATGTTCTCAAAAGCTCCTTTGCCTTTCCAACGAGCTCGGTCCACTCACTCTTCGGCTGGCCGTCGACGCTGATGAACCCGCCCAATTATGCGGCACTGCTTTGACACGGGATGAATTCGCCGCCCAGTCCTTTTTATGTCCGCTTCAGACCTCGTCTGGAAAAGCGTGGTTTTGCCCACGTTCAAGTCCAAACCAAAAAAACAAAAAACCTCCCAATCTGGACGACTGCGTCCACATGTTTCTGAAGGCACTCCGGCTTGTCTGCCACCAGCATCGTGCCGTCCGCGTACGCACGTCTGGAGTGACCAAGTACGGTTTCGCTGCACTTTCCCCAGTGTGCCCTATCTTTTCCTGATCGACGATCTGCAGTGACATTACTGTGATAAACAAGTACGGCGACAAAAGACAGCCTTGCGTTATTCCTGCTGCTTGTGTTCTGCTGGATGCCGTAAACTTCCAATATTTGACAACAAATGCTCGCGCCCTGTAGATTCCTTCAACCATCTGGAGCAGTGTTGGTGGCACACGGAAAAATCGGAGTGCGTGAAGAATCCCTTCTGGTCGGAAGCGGTCGAATGCTTTGCAATAGCGTGCCATCCTCATCCTCCACTGCGGAATATATAAACCGTCGGGCCAAGAAGAGCGAGTCATTCGTACCGAGTTTGGGTCTGCATCCGTACTGTGATTAATGCAGCTGTTCTTCAGCGCTCCCATGATTGAACCTCCGCACGAGCATGCTGGCCAGCATTTTATCGCCCACTGCCAACAAGGAAACTGGCCTGTAGTTGGACGGCTGGGATGTGTCGCCCTTCTTGAGCAGTGAAGCAATGGACGCCTGTCGCCAGCTCCTCGAGGTCTCAAATGAGTGCGCATGGCACCCACCTCCGCCGTGCCTCCCAGGAGCACACGAAAGTGGCGGCAGTTGCGCAGTTCTCAGCCTTCACGGGCGCCCGAGCGACGGAGGACGATGGAGGCAGGGATGCAGGATGCAGGAAGTTGAAGGCAGGAGAAGGCTGGAGGCAGGAGACAGGAGGCGGGGGGCAGGAGGAGAGTAGGAGAGGAGTGGAGACCACAGCGCTCTGATCAAAACGAGAACCCAACCAAAGGAGGGATTGGGAGAAACTCCAGGCGGAGGTTCTTCACCGCTCTCGGTCTCTGGAAAACCTCACCAGGCCCCAGGACCGTCCAAAAACTGCCCGGGATGAAAAGCCGGTCCCTGGGAGAGGGTCAAGACTTCCCAGGGATGCCATATTGAACAAGTCAAAACATCGGCTCTATGCCCTAGGAACATCCTGGGTCCAGGATCGATGCAGATGGTCGGGATCCATTTCTCGGCGCACCGCGGCGGCGGCCCCGGCGACACGCTATGCGCTGCAAGCTGACAGCATGCCGCTCCGCTCCGCGGGGCGGGCGGCGGGGGCAGAGATCGGGACGTGGAAGCCGGCAGGAGGGGACCGAGACGACGCCTCGCGCCGAAGCGCGGTGGGCCAGAGCCGGCGGAGCGACACGCCGACCGAAAGTGCCCGACCGCGTGCCCGCGTGACCGACCGAGCTCGGAGCAGGAGGAGGAGGAGGAGGAGGAGGAGGGGGAGGAGGGGGAGGAAGAGGAGGACGAAAAGGAGGAGGAGGAGGAGGAGGATGACGAGGAGGACGAGGAGGACGAGGAGGACGAGGAGGAGGAGGAGGAGGATAGAGTAACGAGGATGTCTCTGGGCCAACAGGGCGTCGCAGACCGACCCTGGGCCCATCGGGCCCGGCCAGCCGCGGCGCAGGCGTGCGGCCGGCGCCCTCCGACTCGATGACGTGGAGCGGCCGCAGGGCCCGCACCGTGAACCTGGAGGAGCAGCAAAAAAAAGCCTCCTCCACCCCTTCTCCTGACAGATAACTCCTCCTCCTCCTCTTCCTCCTCCTCCTCCTCCTCCTCCTCCTCCTCCTCCACCTTCTCCTCCACCTCCTCCACCTTCTCCTCCACCATTCCTTTTCCTAATAGATAACTTCTCCGTGTCGCACCCCGAGGCCAGTTTTTAGAGCGGTCCGGGCGTTCTGCCTGAGTCCTCCTCGCCATTCATGACCCTGGAGCTTACAAATTGACAGCAACAATTTCACAGGTGGAGGGCGGGTGGTTTCCAAAATGTGGCTCTTGCCTTAGCGCCGCGCACATTCGTTGTTCTGTAAAGTTGCAAGAGTTTCACGGATTCCCATGAACAGCGTACCAGAAATTGCGTTCTGGAAGGATTCAAGATTATGAGGGTGCGACAATTACGTTGATTCGCGGTGCTGAAATCCCAGGAATGGCAGTATGGCACGATTCGGGATCGTCAAGACGCAACAGTCAGGCGTTGGAATCCCGAGAACGATATTTCGGCATGCATCAGGGTCCTCAAACGGTTGTCTTCAAACGAGGCAGTTCCCTAAGTGGAAATGAACCCTTGTAGGGGCATATGAAGAGGGAGCTTGGAAGGAGGGTTCATTCTAACATCGTCCTCCTCGCTCGTCGCTCCTCGCTCCTCGGTCCTCGCTCCTCGCTCCTCGCTCCTTGCTCCTCCTCGTCCGCCTCTTCCTCCTCGCTCCTTGCTTCTCCTCGTCCACCTCTTCCTCCCCCTCGTACAGAACACGGCATGAGCATAAACATCTGGACGTCTGGGCGGATCGCGCGCATCGGTGCTGGACCCCCTCCCCACCCTCAGATCCTGGCGCAGCAGCTCTTCACAAAGGGCGGCGTTGCCTTGATTCGGGCCCCGAGGCCACGTCGTACAGATAGATCCAGCTCTACAAACGCAGCAGAAAGATGGAGTATAGGGCATCTAAGTTTTCGGCATCGACTGCGTGCGTCAGCGCTGGAACCCCCTCTGTGATCCTCAGAACGTGTGTTCGCGCCAACGTGTGCTTGCCCACCGGAGCCCGTAAGTTCGACGCAGGCGGCGCAGTGAAAGCAGAAATAGGCTCCACGCTGTCGGTGGAGGTGAACGAGGTAAGCACATACTGGGCTAACACACGTACTACGGATCATCGACCCTCCTTCCCAGGCGCGCGGAGCTCGCCAATGGCGGCGCCGGAAGCGCCGCCAGGGGAGCTCCAGCGCCGATCCAGAAAAGTCTGTGGTTGTGCAGTGGTTTCCCTTCTCCAGACACCACAGCGCGAACGCGTGGTTCGTGTTCATGCCCCACAAGTTCCGACGGAACGGGCGCCCCGAGTAAACGCGCGCGAAGGCCGGCAGGGCCGACAGCAACTCCTCAGTGAGGGGCACAAGGACAGGGGACTGGCCAGCTCAAAGGGGGGGGAAGCACCGCAAGCGAACTGGCGGCAAATCCTCTTCCTTTCAGCCCAGGTCTCAACTGATTGACAGAAACAAGACGGAGATTTTCGCTGGGCCCCGCGGGGCCGTCAAAAAACGATCGGAATGAAAAGCCGATCCCCTCCCTCCTCCTGTCTCTGGCTTCTGTGACCAGCCCGGGCAATACTCTGGTTGCTGTTCTCTGTTTGGGTTGCCACGCCCGCAGTCTTGCGCATGCGTCTGCTTGACGCGAGGCTTCAGCCAGTCAGGTCGGGCGTGTCCTCCTACAGGGGGATCTTGGACGAAAAATAAGAAGTACTCAAAAATACCCCCAAGTAGCCAAAAAATCGTTATACAAATGGTCCCCGGGCTATCTCTTGACTATTTGGGAAGATTCCTCCTGCGGAGGGACGCGCCCGACTTCACGATCTGCCCCCGATGGCGAACCCGCATGTACGCCGTCCGAGGCTCCATGCGCCCCGCCCCCCTGGGCCTTCGGTGGCAGCTTCTGGGAGCCTCCCATACCGTCTTGTCGGCTCCTGCGAATCGACACCAGGTGGACGCTGATTCAACGCTGGATCGGCGCCACTCGGCGCGAACCGACGCTCCCTCGGCGCTATCTCGTCGACTGCCAGACGCTCGTCGACGCCAAAGACAGAACTGCGAGGGCACACACGGCTCCCATGATGTGCTACTCCAGATTTCGTAATAAAGGGAGGGGGGTCTCATTTCGGGGGGGGTCTCTTCCAGGCTATCTTGGAGGGCCTGGGGGGGTCTGGGGACGATGTTTTGGAGGGTTCTCCCCAGGGGGGGGGTCTAAAACTTCTCGTCTGGGAGGGTTGAGACCCCCTCCCTTTTATTACGAGCTCTGGAGTACCGAATGAGCCCATCTCATCCCTGACGCTGTCCCCACATCGGCGGTCCGGCGGGCGCTCAGGCCGAGCTGGGCACGCCGCGGAAACCGGTCCCTGCAAGGCGCAGCCGCTCGAAGAGGCACCCCCCGAGGCTGCAACGCCGCACCGCCGAGAGCCTCCGAGAACCTCAAGCCTCGAGGCAGCTCGTCCCCTCGAGCCTCCCGGCTCCTCCTCCTCCTGCTCCTCCTCCCTCCTCCCCGCCTCCTCCTCCTCCTCCTCCTCCCTCCTCCTCCTCCTCCTCCTCCTCCTCCTCTCCCCCTCCTCCTCCTCCTCCCCCTCCTCCTCCCCCTCCTCCTCCTCCTCCTCCTCCTCCTCCTCCTCCTCCTCACCTCCTCCTCCTCCCCTCCTCCTCCCTCCTCCTCCTCCTCCCCTCCTCCTCCTCCTCCTCCTGGACGCCGTTCGCCCCCCCCCCCCCCCGCGCCTCCCGGCTCCAGTGCCCCCCGCCCTGGGGGCAGAGCGTCGGGGCGGCCCAGCTGACGGGGTCACAGAAGCTGACGGCGCCGGCGTCGGTGCGGACCGGCTCGGCGGCGAGGCCCAGGGGGGGAAACGAGGCCCCAGGCCCTCCTCGAGGGCTACAGTCGGGGCGTTGACCTAAGGAACGATAAATAAGGAACGAAGCCCCTTTTTTATCCCAAGGAACAACGCACAAGGAACGATAAACAACAAATAACGCATAAGGAGCTGTAAATAACGCATGTAAACCTGAGGAACGACCGAGCCCCTTTTGAAGAGTGAGTGTTCCTTATTCAAGCCGCTCACTGTAAGCAACAGCACCAGGACCTCGACGGCTAAATTGCCGTCAAGGCTTGGAGCGGTCCTGGTTTGGCGGCCTGGACATGGGCACCAGCGCCAACACAGCGGGCCGCCTCCACAGGGGGGAGCTGATCCTAGATTTCGGCGTTGGTGTTCATACTTCGGCCACGTTGGAAGACAGAACATTACCACCACCACCGAGATCGGGACCTTCTTCCCTCGGTGGAGGCACACCGCCAATGTTGGTGTTGGTGTCAACCTCCAGGCCTGCGACTGATGGGCCTGTGCAGGTCTGGGGGGCTAGCTTTGGCACCCTGGAAGGCCAGGGAGGCGGGGGGGAAACCCGGCCCCAGACCCTCCCCGAGGGCTGCGCCACAGCACCAGCACCCCGACGGGCCCAAACACCCTCGAGGCTCGGAGCGGCCCTGCTCGGCCTGCAAGCCTGGCGGGGGCCAGGCCTTCGCACCCCGGCCGCGGGGGGGCGGGCCCTCCCGGCAGGCCCGGAGGGCCGCCGGCCTCCTCTCGGAGCAGCCCCTCCGCGCCCCCCTGCGGCCACGGGCAGCGGCTCCTCGCCGCAGGCTGCACCAAAGCCCGCCCCGAGGGCCCAGGAAAAGGAGCACCGGGGACCTCGCCGGCCAAAGCACCGTCGCGCGGTCTTGAGCGGCCCTGGGCCAGGGCCCGCCCCGAGGGCCAAGGAAGGATGAGCACCGGGGACCTCGCCAGCCAGAGCAAGCGGCCTTC